TGACATTTTTCGCACTCGTCTTATTCGGCATCTTTTAGACTTATTTTCCCCCTTTTTACAAAGCTATTAAAATCCTAAATTACCTTTACTACAATTCTATGTATTGGTAAGGTTTTTTTTTATTCTATTGGAACAGATTTCTACTCAAACCGAGCTCAATTCTCGCCACAAAAATCACATTTTTGCATACATTTCTTCGCACGTCTTTTGCTTGCATCTTTCTTCATCTTTGTCTGAGCTTTTTCCCTGTCTTCGCAGACATATTGCTCTTTAAATACTTTCGCTACATTGCTCATATAGTAAAGTATGTTTTCTATTAAATTACTTAACCTTTGGCTTTGTTTTTCAACTCTATTTGATTGTAAGAAAGAAAGCTACTTTAAACTACTTTTCTTCGCACGCTGTTTTACATTGTTTTTCATAGTTTGTCTGAACTTTTCCCCTGTTTTCGCAGACCATATTGCTCTTGAAATACTTTCGCTACATTGCTCATGTAGTAAAGAATATTTTCTATATCAAATTCCGAAATGGTTGTTCAGAAAAAGGTGCAAAATTCTCATAATGCAAGCTTCACTTCGTTCGCCTCCATCGAGTACATTTTACCTTTTTCTTGTCCGCTCTTGAAGTAGATCAACAAGGACCAATCAGGTGCCGTGTAATATGTGCGCGCGTTGTGATTGGTTGTCTAAAAATAGATTATCGGGACATCTGATGGTGGCGATACCAATGCGGAGATGGACACTTCTGGTTATGTACTTCTGATATCGGCTTATAGACAATGAATTAAGGTCTTTTGGTCTTTAATGTACTCTATGGTTCCACAAGACTGTATATACTCTATTCATATACTTTTTTAAAAGAGAACTTACAAAGTTGTACCACATTAATATTGATCGAGTCGCTACCAGCGATGTTCGCTGCTCTACAAGTGTACATCCCATAATCACCACTCTCTTCTGTCAGCACTGTAGCCTCACTACCATTAGTAATATTACGGACATTGGTAATACGGTTACCATTGGGCTTGTACCATGTCCAGGTTGGACTGGGTAGTGAGCTGGATTTAAGATTGCACCTCAGGGTTATGTGGTTACCAGACCAGGAACTTATGTTCTCAAGCGACGAAGACTTTACAATCGTGGGTTTATCTGTACAAATTAAGATATATTATACACATAATATATCATCAGTATAGAGGAAGGAAGGTACAGTTTTAAAGATATTGATGATTTTCTTCAAGACAGTAGCAAACAGCAACAATGATCATCTGAAACCTTTTTCGGGGTCTTTTGTGTGTGCAGCCTTCTCAGGGATTTGTCTTGAATTTGCGCAGAATTAAGGACAAGCGATTATACAGTTGGTTTTTACGGTTTTTCAGTGTATATAAATACTAGAACAACTCGCAAGTAACCAGACCATTTTTAACTGTAATTTGAACGATAATGAAAAATGATCATTAACATCGAATGCGTTTCATGTATCTGTCTACTTACAATAAACAATAACCAGAGTTCTAGACCTGACCACTTTCTCATTTGGATTATTGGTTGCATGGCACTCGTACTTAGCCCCACTCTGATTTCTTTTAATGTCTGCAAAGTGCAGAACTGCAGTTCCTTTACCTTTGATTAAAGTAATCTTAATAGATTGTAGTATTTGCACCCAAGTGACATTTGGTGTTGGGTAGCCAACAGCAGTACAAGTGATTTTCAAGTCCGAGTGTTCACTGACTACTGTTGTAGCAGTTGGCTTTTCTTTAAGCAGTGGTGTTTCTAGAAATAGGATAAGCAGCTTCTTGGTAAATAACACAACTAAAAAAATGAAAAAAATTGCAAAAATTGTGATAATTTATTTCAATATCATTGAGTGCATCATGTACCTGTAACAATCAGTTGAGCTTGGCTTGTTGGCATCGAACTGACTAAACCACTGCGTAATAACAGTCTGCAAGTATATGTACCAGAATCAGCCAGTGTTACGTTAGAGATGATCAAAGTAGCTTTACCCTCCAAACTCACTCGTACTTTAGGTGTTAGTAATCGAGGTGGACAGGTTTTATGAATCCTAAATTTACGTCCATCAAATACGTCACCATATCCAATCCACCAACTCGTGTTGTTATGGAAATACCATCTTGGGGACTGAGGATCAAACTCTGTGAAGATATTATCAACATGGTAGTCCCACGAAAACTGAGCAGTTCGACCTTTTAGTATGTACTGCCTTTTTTGCGGATAATTGGTGAACAGGGCTGCTGCGTCTGATAAATAAAAAAGCATATCATGACTAGTGCGAATGCGTTTAAGCTCATCCTGGTGCCATGTTTACAACAAACGCCCCGGAAATATTTAACAAATAGATCTCGAGGTCGAGTGGACTACGAGCTGATAGCTTGTAGTCCTCGAGTCCGAGAGATCTAATTGTTTTAGTATTACCATACTAGTTGGACAAAAAATGAATAAAATATATAAATAACTAAGTGATTTTTATTGCTAAAAATACGCAAAAAGTTGTCGATTTTCGCTAGTCGAGGACTATTGAAAATAGAACCTGAGTAGCGTAGCCAATCAGAACGAAGGATTTGCAATAGTCCACTAGTATGGTAATACTAATTACTGTTATTAAATAACGGGTCATACGAAATATAAATCGGTTACCTGAATTATTTGTAAGTTTGCGAAGACAGACAAAATTGCTGAAGATCGATTCTACGCAATTATTATATTATGTGCTTTCTTATACTGTCAATTGCAAAAAGGTTGTCCATCGAGATACTTACCTATAAAATACCTAATGAGATGCAAGGTCATACACATTTTTATAGATTAAGAATTGTTGGTTGAAAACTAATGAGGGTAGTGTTTTACGTTATTACTATTGGAGGTTATAGCTGAAATCTCTATGAAAACAGTGATCGATTGTTTCCAAAAAGCAGATTACTTTGAACACATTCGGTTATAGGCAGCCATGTTTACCCGGATTTTTACTTGTATATTAATTCAGTATTTTTTCTACTACATTTATATTCGATATACGTTAATTCTCAGAACTTTGAAGCCTTTTTGTCTGTAAGTCAAAATTGATCTTAAAAATGGTATCTAGAAAAAAAAAAATGCCCAACCTGCTAGCTGGAGTAAAGTGAAGCCGAAAAGAAGAACACACAATCCACGTTCCATCTTGAACCATAAGTGAATAGTGTTTCTTCGCTACTGATGCTGATGCTCCTGATTAAAATGAATGCATAATTCAGAGGGCAAGTTGACCAAAGTCTACTGCTGTGGTCGGGAATTCAACAGTTCATAACAAACATTGTAATTGCATGCAATGAAACTCGGGGATCAACTATTTTAATTCTTATTTTGTCAAAGAAATATAAGCCATGAAATAAAACCATCATTAAAGACACAAATTTGCAGCGGTTCTTTTGGTTATATGACTGTAGCCCAAAAACATAAAGTAATGTATTAGTGAACAAATGTATTGACTTCCACATGGTTACGTTACCTTCCCTAAAAATCACGCTTATCAATATTCACCAATATGAAAACATCACCTCAGCTGTGGTGTGATCGTTTTCGAATCAACTCTTACTGTAATAACTATTTCAAAACTTTTCGTAAAACCTGATTTATTCTTTTTGTTGATTCAGTGCTCTACTTGAAAAAAAAAAGGAAAGAAAAAAAAGAGAGGAAAAGAAAAGAAAAGAAATGAAAAAAGAAAGAAAGAAAGAAATGAAAAAAATGTTTGCATAATTTGAGACTGAAAAGCGTCCGTATTCCTCAAGACTCTTAGTTTACGGAGTCAGCAGACCGCTGACATTTTGGACTTGAAGACGCTGGGCTCGAGACTGGTCTACTATGGGAGACTGAGTATAAATGACTGCCCCTTAGGGACTGGTCATAAATTATAGGGAGAGGGCTGGAAAAATACAGTTGACTCTCTTTGAACGACCACTCTCATAAACGACCATATCCCGTAAGCGACCAACTTTTAAATTTCCCGTTATAATTGTATAACATATAAACTCTCTCGTAAACGACCACTTTTCCTGATACCGAGGAAGTCGCTTAGAAGAGAGTTGACTGTATTGGTTGGTCATGATAAATTATCTTTGACCCACCCTCATACTTTTGCACAGAATTGCATGAGCCACCCAGTTGTTCAAGCACAAAAATTCATGACCCACCCCAATAAACCTGTAGTATTTCCACACTGGTTATTAATATATAAGGCAACAGGCATAAGACAGCTTGGTTCTTTGACTGCTTTATTTCTTCTCAAGCATGATGGGTAATACCAGGACGTATGAATATACTACACTACTTTTCCACCAAAACGGTTGGTGTGTTTACAGTCTCTCTAACTATATCAATAGCTTTGTCTCAATAGCTTGGCATGTCATCATGTGCCTTAATCATGTGGATATTTCTGCTACGATATCCTGTTTTAACAATATAGGTCCTGGGACCAAAAAATCTACCGTCCCTTGGATCCATTTTTCTAATTGAGATCTAGATCTATTATTTCTCGAGCTAAATTAGTTAATTAAGTACAGTAGTATAGTGTGTAAAGACTGGCTGCTAGTATGAGCAATTCATAACAAATTACAATCTCAAAAACAGTTCATAACAAAAAAAAAATATATAACAACAAAAAAAGAGTTTGTGGGGGGTTCGTCCGATGACTGATGATGATCGAACACTTGCAGCTTCAAAGACTCTTGGCGTACTAGGTGGAACTATAATCAAATAAAATATGAAATCGCTTTATTTCACACTTAAATAAACTTCTGTATACACGTTTCTATATACCTCTTTAAAAAATACGAATATCGAACATCTACAGTAAGAAAAGCATTGGATTGTGTATATATAAGTACAATGAAAGAAGAACTGTGTAGTGGTCAAAATATGCTGCACATCCGTTTCGAGTTGAATACTGCACATATTGGATGGACAACAACAACGACAAAAAAAAACAAAAAAAAAAACAGAAGCTATAGTTATCCGCAAGTAAAAATAAACTTACTGAAACCTTGGCAAATGCCAATCAGTCGCATATGTCAATCACAAATTCATTTGATAACCCTTGATTGCATTGAAACATAATTTCAATGCAATAATAAGAGTCCTGTTGAATATATGCAAAATAACAGTCCTGAATTCAACTTACAAAGACGAGTAACTGATATCTTATGCCAATCAATCCCAGCAATATTTGCTGCTTTACAAGTGTACATGCCGTAGTCATCGGCTTCATCGCCAGTCACCACTGTGACCTCACTACCCCTACCAATATTACTGACATTGGTGATGCGGTCACCATTTGGCTTATACCATGTCCAGTTTGGAATGGGATTTGAACTAGACCATTTGCACCTCAGGGATATTGTGTTGCCAGCCCATGAGCTGATATTAACCGTAGAAGATGCCTTTTCAACTGTAGGTTTGTCTAGGAAAAATAAATATCTATTTTAAAAATTAACAAGAAAGAAAGCCAAGAAGCTCTTCAAGGACCGATCCAGCTGAAAATTTAAGGGGAGGCTAAATGGCTTTAAGGGAGGCTAAATGTGCTATATTTGCTATAAACAACAGATTTATCTTTTATCTTAAAGGAGGGGCTGCGGCCCCTCTTTGCCCCTCCCTTGATCCGCCCTTGATGTAAACAAAGACAATATTTTATTAATGTTTGAATATTTCAAACACTTTTAAGATTTGTAAGATTGTTTGAACAGTTAAGAAGGATCCCAGTCTTTAACTTTCTACTCACAATAGACTGCAACGAAACTTTTAGCAACAACAGGTCTCTCATTGGGGTTGTTGATTGCATGACACTCGTACGCCCCACTATGAGTCCTGCTGATATTCGGTAACAGTAGTTCTGCAGTCCCTACACCTTTACTAAGAGTAATCCCTCTTCTAACGTCTACCCAAGTAACATTTGGTCTGGGAGTGCCAACTGCTATGCAAGTTAAGCCCAAGTCTGAGTTTTCAATGACAAAGGCGTATGGTTTGGGTTTTGAAGTTAACTTTGGAGTTTCTAGAAAATATATATACACATGAATGATCAAAGAGAATAAAAAAAGATAAGAATTCAAAATTATATAGCATTAGCAATTTCATTAATAATTCAACGAGGATCACCCATTATGTTATATGATTGAGTCTTTCAATCCTGATAACAAATTGATTAGCAAAACCATTTAAGGTTTTATTAAATTTGAAACACTATCTTATTATAGATCATAGACCTTCACTAGATTTTTCATCATACAGCAAATGCAGCAGTCTGGTACTAGACTTTCATTCACTTGTACCTCCACTTTTAATGAAATAAAACGAAAAGATAATGCTAAAATAATTACAACAGAACCAAAAGTAGAATCAACACCCAAACAAACAAGCACCTACCAAACAAGCAATTATAACATATTCGAGCATAACATCATTTACCTGTAACAATCAGTTGAGTTTGGCTTGTTGGCATCGAACTGAGAGAACCAGTGACTGACAACAATATGCATCCATATGTACCAGAATCATCCAGAGTTACATTTATGATATGCAAAGTAGCTTTATCCTCAATACTCACTCGTATTGTTGGTGTTAGTAATCGAGATGGACAAGTAGTTGTAGCAATGCTGAATTTCCAACTATCATATGCGTCACCATACCCAATCATGAAGCTGTCGTTATGGAAATACCATCTTGGTGATTGAGAATCAAACTCTGTGTTGATATTGTCAACATGGTAGTCCCACGTTAACTTAGCAGTTTGGCCTTTCATTACATACAGTTTGTCAGCAGGAACTCTGGTGAATCGAGCTGCTGCATCTTGGAAATAAAATATAATTATAAGCTAACATATCTGATATATCCTATTACTATAATCGCATTATTGCTCGCAACATGTATACTAATACCTGTATTTACAAGAAATGTTATTCTTATAATACTGGAATTTGTCAAGATGAATTCTATACAGTGACAAACATGGCAGGTAATTCTACGATGTTGCTTCTCGACGTATAACCTTATATACAGATTTCATATACTGGAGCTATGTAATCGCTAATCGCTGAATAGTTCATCGTCTGATGTGAGGGCAGACACCTCAACTTCGCATTTTTAGTTTTGAGTTCGGTATCCAATTTCAATTAAAATTTTCTTGAATCCCTCCAAGAATCTCGAAAATACCTCAGTATTACTTAAACATTAGATTATAAGCAGCAGTAATATACTTGCCTGAATTTCACTTTTATTTACAAGGCATTCGGATCTGCCTACTAATGTATTCGATGTACCTTAATTCAGTATTCTATGTCGTTATATTTTTCGATATATCTTTTGGTCATAATACATCTTAAATGATATTTACTAACCTGCAAACTGAATTACTGTGGAGCCGTAAAGAAGAACACGCAATACCCTGTCCATCTTGTTCAATGACATATAATGTCTGCCGAAAATGACATGAATTCAGAGCACAACTTGGCCAGCTGTTACTGTGGTCGGACCACAGTCCGTGACTAACATCGTAATGGTCCTTCCGCAAAGTTGTTGATATAGCAGAACCAAAGCGATTCTTTGGCTAAATCGTAACATTTCTATGTGTTCAGAATGGATGTAGAAAATAGCTGAACAAGCAAAAATTCCGTAAGAGAAAAGTTATTTTTGAATTGTTCATGCTTTTTGAGGGAATTATCGTCGAAGGAGCCAAGAGAACTTTTTGAAATAGCAAAAGATAAATCGATTTAAAAAATACGGTTGTAGTACCTAATTAAATAGTAGCATTCGACAGATCGAAATAGACGATAGAAGATCAAGCCGCCAATGGCAACACAACTCGAAGATTGATTGTGTAGACGAATAAAGAACGATACGATGAATCGAATTATAACTACTTGACAAATAGAATTTTGAGTATCTGATTTTTATGAATATAGTTTGTGTTTTTTCGTTATATTTTATCAATTTAACTTCGGTTCTGGATMCCAGTCTAGCCAGATTAAACTATGTAAAAACACCGCAAGTGTCAAAACGCAATAATAACAATCCCCAAGTAAACACAACTTCGCCTCAACCGCAACGATCGATATCTCGGGAGTTCAATTAAAGCAAACCGAATAGAAACTTCAATGACAAACAGCCAAATAGAAATTTTCTTAAGAATTTGATCATCAAAGAGTTTGTAATCTTAAACGTATCAATGATTGAAAAGGTCAATATACGAAATATGTTTCATTGAAAGTCTTGGTTTTAGTGTGTCAAACAAGAATTTTCTTTAAAAAAACAAGTTCACATGTACCATGAAACAGTCAAATAGTATCCGGTTTAACAAGGCAAAAGTGGCATTTTCTTAAAATATCTGAGTCTGTCGGAGAGAGAGAAATTTGTGTTTCTGGTACATTTTTGTTAAATCATAAGTGTGGTCACTTAAGTAATCAACCTAGATAACAAAGAAACTGTCAAAGTAAGTACGCAAAGAAATTTTACATAAATATCTATAGACAACAGATGCGCTGCAGATGCATATTCATATTCTTTAAGCACATGTTTTAAATTTAATTCAGAAGTGTTTGGACGTCGATGTATAAAGGAGTACAAGRAAGACTACAGTCTCTTTGATTGCGAGCTGCGTAGAGCTGGAAAATTCTACGACAGAGTCTTCATTGTTTTATTTTAATATTAACTTGGGTTCTCGATAAGCACAGGCCAGCACCTTCGTACAATCATTTTCGAAACGAATTGGAGGATCGTCCAGTCTTCTTTGCTTGCTTCGACCTTTGCGACTTAACGGTATGTCGAATCAAATTATAATTACTTTTCAAATAAAATTTTACATTATTTTATGAATACAGTTTTCTTTTTAGTTACAATCTAATTATTTTTAACTTTGATTTTTGACAACCAGGAGCGAGCACCTGCAGTTAAAAGACAAGTATAACCACAATTATGTAACATTGGTATGTGTGGCCGAATGGAAGTGCTTTCGATTCTAAATCAAAGGTCTGAGATTCGAGACTCAGAGGAGATGACATTTCTTTAGATTTCTTTCTTTGCCAAAAAATAAATGAATAAATAATCAAATGTAGAACAGGGAAACCGGTAACGGCAAATTAATGAATAGATTACTAGAAAACAATGAGAATAAATTAATAGTTCTGAATAGTCCTGAAGTAACGCAGGCTCAAGTTTACAGGAAAGTGAGTGACTGAGTGACTGAGTGATTTAGTGAGTGACAGACTCGTCCCCCTCCGATAACTCTTCGATTGCTTCGCAATCTTCGAGTTAAAAATGATGTGATCTAGCCAAAGCCTCGGAAAAAAGGCGATAGTAGTGCCTAGTAAAATGTTTAAAGATAATAACAATTAGTTATAAGGACTCTCCTCTTGAAAAAAATAGTCAATTTGATCTTGATATTGTAGTGCGATGTCATAATAAAAGCTGTTCATATTGTTTGTTCATATGAATCCTAAATACAGCTTCAAATTTCCCAGCAAATCATATATTTGATTTTCTACATCTAGTTCCCTGGGACAGTTATTGCGAATGACGCCTAACAGTATCTAGTTGGTGTGCAAGCTCTGGTAAACACTTGTATAATTAGACAATGATTGGTAGATATGATATGATGCTGATAACTTTCATCAGTGTCGACGTCTGTTTTACGTAGCGGCTCGTTTCTTGGTGATGCAGATTTCTGACTATTATATAGACAATGTCAGGGTTGAGTTAAATTTTAAATTTATTAGCTTTGCCCCTAGTATGGGCAGGGACTTCGCAACAATTAATGCGGCCCCTGTACCCTCACACTCACTACCTCTACATTAAGTATTTCAGCACACAACACTTCTCACATGTTAATTTTTTTGGGGGGCATTAATGTGCCAACCATGATCAGAATGCATCACTGTCTTATGTGCTAAAATTCGTTTGATATTTGGTGGAAACACCATTATACGCGTTGGAAAACACATTATGTGTGGTTCATTTATCATCATATGCGGTGCATTTCTCGTTATATTAGGTCGATACGGCATTATACTAGGTTGATACGACAATATAAGAAGTGAATATGGTATTATACGAGGTGGATACGGCATTATATAGGGCTCAAATGACAATATACGATGTAGATACGGCATTATGATGTGCCATGGACACCACTACGAAAACGGCATTATATGAGGTTGATGCGACATTATACAAACAAAACATAATGCGATGGATAGGACATTATACGAACACAACATTATATGAGGTGGTCATGATATTATACGAACAAAACATTATATGAGGTGGTCATGACATTATACGAACAAAACATTATATGAGGTGGTCATGACATTATACGAACAAAACATTATATGAGGTGGTCATGACATTATACGAACAAAACATTATATGAGGTGGTCATGACATTATACGAACAAAACATTATATGAGGTGGTCATGACATTATACGAACAAAACATTATGATGAGGTGGTCATGACATTATACGAACAACACATTATATGAGGTGGTCATGACATTATACGAACAACACATTATATGAGGTGGTCATGACATTATACGAACAACACATTATATGAGGTGGTCATGGCATTATACGAACAAAACATTATATGAGGTGGTCATGACATTATACGAACGCAATATTATATGAGGTGGTTCGCGGGCTCATATTCAAAAGGCGGTTTTCCAAAGGACGGGCTTCCTGTGTTTTTAACAAAATTGGGAACGACAGTAAAATTAGGAAAATGTCAAATGTTGTTTTCTTTTATTTTTTATTTATTTTTTATTAATTTCTCTTTAATCTGTAAATAAATATATTCGTACCGAGACTTTTAAAAATATCAGTTGTAAACCTTTTTATTTCTCCGACGCGTCTCGTCTAACTCAGTCTGTAGATTTCTTAAGGTAGTATTACTACCACCCCGGAATCTTTTATTATGAATCATTTCCGAAATTTTTAAAAATTATTTATTTCGGATTTAATTTCTGTCCTGTTTACGTTAGTATAATTTTTTACATGTTCGCGCTTTTTATACGTAATAATAGTTAGCTTTATATACAGGACCTTTATGCTTTATTGTAAAATTGCCTGACGTTCACGGAGGTGGCTATGACAGGGTAGACATAAAACGAAGACCTAAGACCTAAGACCCAAAAACGAAGACTCCAACAAAATCTATTCAAAATCGTTCCAAAAGTGCGTTATGTCACGTAGAACATAACTAGCAAAAAAAAACACTAACTTTAGTAGTAACTTTCGGTAAGAGCAAAGCGTGTGTAATGCACATCAACTACAACAAAATTTGCCAATTTTAGGGCTTTTTTGCTGGGGTCTTCGTTTTGGACAACCCCCTCCCCCCAAATATACAAAACAAAACAAAACAAAAAAAAAATAAACAAAACGAGTTAGCTGGTAGGTGGTAGCTGTAGTTTGCCGGTTTTGGAAATCCGAAACTTACAGTTCCGTGAGAAGAAACAGAAAGAACTCCTCGCCACACTACAAGGATCCGCAATCCTACTCGTCTTAGCATATTATTCTATAAATTCGCGTTAGCCAGAAAGATTAAGCAAGAAAAGAGCACCAAGTAAATCTTTATTAGGTACTAAGATCATTAGCACAACTCGCAACGAGTTCCCAAAGCTTCCATCCAGCAAAGGCTTCATAGAAGACCTTGGAAAAGCTAAGACAAAACTGACACACGACGCGTTTCGTCTAACTCCGTGAACTTCAGGCAGTTTTACAATAAAGCATAAAGGTCCTGTATATAAAGCTAACTATTATTATGTATAGAAAGCGCGAACATGTAAAAATTATACTAACGTAAACAGGGCAGAAATTAAATCCAAAATAAATAATTTTTAAAAATTTCGGAAATGATTTATAATAAAAGATTCCGGGGTGGTAGTAATACTACCTGAAGAAGTCTACAGATTGAGTTAGACGAGACGCGTCGGAGAAATAAAAAGGTTTACAAGTGTTTTTTTAAAAGTCACGGTGTGAATATATTTAGTTAAAAATTAAAGAAAAATTAATAAAAGATAAAAAAAATAATAATAAAAGAACAACATTTGACATTTCCTAATTTTACTGTCCTTCCCCATTTTGTTAAAAACACAGGAAGCCCGTCCTTTTGAAAACCGCCTTTTGAATATGAGCCCGCGAACCACCTCATATAATGTTTTGTTTGTATAATGTCATGTCCACCTCATATAATGTCTTGTTCGTATAATGCCATGTCCACCTCATATAATGTTTTGTTCGTATAATGTCCTATCCATCGCATTATGTTTTGTTTGTATAATGTCGCATCAACCTCATATAATGTGTTGTTAGTATAATATCATGACCACTTCATATAATTGTGTTCGTATAATATCATGACCACCTCATATAATGTTGCGTTCGTATAATGTCAT